GTTCCCCAGGGCCCTGCGCCCATCCCCCCCCCCCCCCCCCCTATGAGGGTTTAGCTAGAAAGCTTCTAAAACTTCGACACGAGCGGCTTCTTTTCAGCCGGCCTGCACTGCGGAAAAGTGGGGCCACGTCCTGCTAAGGAGAAGAGTTTCCCTTTCACATTGATCCACCCCGGAGGCTCATGAACATCAACGAAACCATGGAGGGAAGATTCCAGCCTTCCTGGGAAGAGAGCGTATTTGAGCAGGCTGGCCCTTAGAAAGCGGGAGAATTACGGACCGCCAGCCAAGCAGCTGTGTTGGAGGACGATTCTGCCGCCTTCAGAGATTTCATAAGGGATGACAGCAGGAAACGACTTCTAGCCCGAGAGTAATCTACTCAAACCAATGAACAAAGAGGCGGGACCATTCCTTGCCCAGCTGGCTGGGGAATTCTGGGCGTGGCCCCAAGCCCACTGGAGCGACTCCTCTGGCTTCAGCTAAGCCTCGGAGGCCATGATGTGGGTGCAAGACACACCCTATAGCAGCGATCCCTGTGGGGGCATGGAGGAATGTTCAGGGGGGCGTGTGGTGGAGCCCGGGCCAGTCCCCATGGGGGAGAGGGAGGGCGCGTGTGCCAGCCCCACTCGGCCTATAACCATCTTGGTGAACCGCCCCTCGCCAGGAAACGGGAGGTATGAAATCTTCGCATGGTCATAGCCTGGTTCAAACACACACCAACATTCAGACCAATGAATCACTAGGGGCAAATCAGCTTTTGCACACCAATGAGACACCAACACACTTACTATCACCTCGTTTAATGCCCAGCACATGTACTAGTCCTTAAGTGGAGCTCATTAACACCTGCTGCATCCTAAAACGATGGGCACGTGCAGATGTCAGACAAAACGGCTGAGGAAGGTGGAATTCTTGGCCGCACAGTTTATTCAGAATTTAGAAAAGTTCTGGGAAGCCTGACCAGCTAATGTACTTGCGCTCTCGCTCGCTCGCTCTCTCTCTCTGCACCTAGATAATTCTTCCAGGGCAAGCTGCATAACACATGATTTCTTGGTCTTCCTAACAAAAGTTGTTTAAAAGTGCTATAGAGGAGAAAAATACAACTGGGACAAAACTGAGAATACATAAAACATATTCCCAGCACTTAACAAAATTCATTTTTTTTACAACGAATTCTACGCTTTCCGTCTCTGATTGGCGTTTTCTATTGCTATCCCAAGAGCCTCTAGCTTCCTGTTCCTTAGTTTGTTCTGAGAACCCTTTCGTTTTGCTTCAGTTTGTTTCTTTCACTGGTTTCCGAAAGCTAAGATGGCTCATTGACCGAGTTCTCCCAGGATCGGCGGCACACTGAGAGACCAGAGTCCATTTCCAAGCAATAGTTAGCAGCGAGTCTCTCTCAAAGTGCTTCTCAGATTACTGGGTGGTCACAAGCTTCACAATCATACTGATGATACGGGATCCTCGTGGGCACGTGCATAAATCCATGCTGGGCGTCTTGATCTTGTCCTGGAGTAATTGGTCTAGTTCACAGCGAAGTTCTTTCACCAACTCCGCCACCTGAAGCCAACAGGGAAACCCCCCCAAACAACATGAAATAACCTCTCCTGTGTGCTCTCCAGCCCATTTGTTGCAGGAGCCGAGCACGGTGTGAGGCAGGCACTCACAAGCTTGCTGGCCGCTTTCATTACCTGGTGGGAGGCTGCTGCGAAACGAATCCATCCATCATCCAGCGAAATAATAAACTCCCCCCGTTGCAGCTGCATGTGGACCTGCCCTCCTCCAAACAAGACCAGGGGGTACACCGACACCATGCTGCAGTCTCGGATGAATACGCGGCTGGTTTTGATCTTCTCATGATACACCAAGTACGGGCTGTTAAAGTGCCTCGTCTGGAACAGGCCAAAGGGTTGCAGGTCAGTTAGGAGTGAGACCAGGCCTTACCAGTCAGTTAAGGAATAAATCAGATTACGGGCTCGCTCGCTGCCCGGTGCGTATAAAACTTATCCTCATTACACACAACCACCTTCAATGCTTGGGACACCCTCTCATCAAAGCGCGTTTCCCATTTACAACTACAGGATTTATTAAACAAAGGGATTCGCTGCGGCTACTGAATTCGACTGATGAACGCACGTCGGTCTGGGAACATTTTCAAACTTGCCTAAGTAGAAGTGGGGGGAGGGATCCCTCAGTGGTTTGAGCATTGGTCTGCTAAACCCAAGGTTGTGAGCTCAATCTCTGAGGAGGCCACTTAGGGATCTGGGGCAATTCTGTCAGGGATGGTACATGATCCTTCTGTGAGGGCAGGGGACTGGACTCGATGACCTCTCAAGGCCCCTTCCAGCTCAATGACATAAACTTCACTTCAATTCCTACTAGCTTAAGTCTCTTGAAAATGACCCAGGCTCCTAGGTCATGCAGGCTGATCCGCTGTGCCATAGTCACAAAACGTGGCCTCAAACATTAGTCCCCCCTTCCCCCGCCGATTCTTTCTTTCTACAGAAAAGCAGCCTTTAACTCAAAGCTGGTGACAGACGTTCATGGAGTCGGCATATTTGTTATTTCAGTGTTTTAAGAGATAGGTTAAAGCCTAAACTTATTTTGTATAACATTCAGATTGGATTTAAATGGTGCATTTTAAAAAAAGAAAACACCTTATAATTGATAATGACAAATCCAATTTCCATTTAAAAAAATCTGACAGTTTTTTCCAATAACATCATCGATTTGTATCCATCCAGGAAAGCCCAGTCGCTTTGCTGCTTCTCCCCCTGCTCTCGTTCTACCTAGTCAGGTGCCTCTCTTCATCCTGTAGTATCCCGGACCCTTTTGAGCGCAAGGACACGAGAGGAGCTGCTGGTGCATGGCCCCACTGCTCCGGGACTTGCTCATCAGACTATGCCTAGGAGTGACTACCTGCTTCCTCCACACAGCCGCCCTCCCTAAGCGGACAGGAGAGTTTTGGACCCAACACCACTGATGTGTTTGTATTTCTAAACCGTGTCCTTGCATAGCTCGGGCACGTTCAACAGAGTCCCGTCTCCTGCGCTCGGTCTCTGCTTCCCTTCGTCACAAGATGGCCGCCCTGAATGCCGCTCCTTAGGACGCACGCCCGGAGCAAGGCCTATCGGAAATCAGCCAGCTCCTGACATCGCCTCTAGTTTCCCCTGCCCACACAGGAGAGTTGGAGGTGGACGTGGTTCTTTATGTTAATTTAGACGCAGACGGATTCACCAGGCTAGATGTACACACACTTACGCTGCACAGTAGTCGCATATGTCGTTCTATCTAACTATGCGATACTGATTTCAAAGGCTAATTTGTCTGCCCGAAAAGGAGACTAGTGTTCTCATGCACTTGAATTAAAAAACACCCATTCAATGGACCGTTTTTCCCTCTGTGATCCTAATTCATAGGAAATGATTAGGACAGGGGTCTCCAACCTTTTTAAGCACGAGATCACTTTTCGAATTGAAGTGCAATCCAGGATCTACCTCAAACCCAAATACTCTTGCCCCACTTCCTTCCTGCCCCTTCTCCAAGGCCCCGCCCCGGTCACTCCATCCTCCCTCCCCCATCTTCACTCACTTTTATCATGCTGGGGGCAGGGTGTTGGGGTGCAGAAGGGGTTCATGGCTGGGGTTTGGAATGCAGGCTCCAGCTGGGCACCCACAGGTGGCTTCTGGGTGTTGGTGCAGGGGGCTAAGGCAGTCTCACCCCTACTCTGGCCCTGCACAACTCCCAAAAGTAGCCAGCAAACTCCCTCCATCCCTGTCCCCCCTGCTCTGTGTAGATTGAGTACAGGGTAGAGGGAGGGGCACCCTGACATCAGCACCCCCCTTCCTCTTGTTCCCATGCCCTGCACACCAAGCAGGAGGCTCCCGGGATCACCTGTCAAAGGCTCCAAGATCTACCAGTAGATCTTGATCTACTTGCTGGTGACCACTGGATTAGGAAAGGATTGCATTTGATCTTGTATGATGAAGTGACACTGGGCATTGCAACAGCGAATTATTCACAAATAAAGTATTTCAGCGGAAGAAATACGTGCCCACATGGTCAGTAAATTTGCCGTGTAAAGATGCTGCCCCCACACAGTTGCCATTTCATGCACAGTTCCTGAGACTACACAGAGAATCGTGGTGGTCCCTACAGCCACAGTGCCCTGCAACAGAGATAATCCTGCAGGAATGTGAGTTCTTACATTTGTGAAAATCTGGGCCATGAACAATGTTCTCTCTAATCGATCCCACCTATGTGCAGAATAAATTTTGTTTTGTGCACCAAGGCATGTGCAATTGTGCACCACCAGGACAAACGGAAGCCTAGCTGTGGGCACTCCGCTCATCAGCTGGGTGGCAGCAGACTATCTCCTGCGTGGCCACACAAGCCCGCAGCATATAGAAAACACGCACCATGACGTTGCTTGACCCTGCAAACTTAACTTGATAATTTGCGTTTCTGTCCTCTACGGCAACGCAGGCTCTGACCTGGCTCTGTGCCATCCATTAACACCCACCACAGAGATTTCAGTCATGGCACTGCTATATTTTTAAGCCTGCTCAGTGCACCAGTTCACAACCCAAGCAGCATTTAGTTGAAGCAAAGTCTTTTTCTTTTTTTTAAAATGTCGACAACGTATCTTACGGAGTTGGAAAAAAGTCCTTACTTGATAATTCACCGAGGAAGGGTGAACGTGAACGTAACCGTCATTTTTTGTAACAAACTTCAGCTCCACTGCCTTTGGGTGCATTTTAACTGCTCCTGCACTGGTACTCTGGTACTTCCCCTCTGGGGTTTTCACCTAAACGTGAAGATTAAAAAAAGTAATAAAATGAATCTCTCTCTCATTCCCCCCAAAGCGAACGCTCTTTGCCCAGGGTCTGTTACTACAGTACTTCACGGGGACACTTCTTGTCGGACACTGGACCACTTTGGAGGATGCTGCATTCCAACTAAACCAGTATTTCGGATGCTCCTAACCGCAAACCAATTCCTTTTGAGGTACGTTTTTGCTTGGTCTCCGCCCAGAGGAGACTTCGGGGGTATCTAAACCCTGTCACTGAGGTACAGGCAGTCCTCTGCCAGGCTAGTCAACACCAGTTGGGGGTTGGGTTGTTAATCATAGAATCATAGGACTGGAAGGGACCTCGAAAGGTCATCGAGTCCAGCCCCCCGCCCTCAAGGCAGGACCAAGCTCCGTCTACACCATCCCTGACAGATGTCTATCTAACCTGTTCTTAAATATCTCCAGAGAGGGAGATTCCACCACCTCCCTTGGCAATTTATTCCAATATTTGACCACCCTGACAGTTAGGAATTTTTTCCTAATGTCCAATCTAAACCTCCCTTGCTGCACTTTAAGCCCATTACTCCTTGTCCTGTCCTCAGAAACCAAGAGGAACAAATTTTCTCCTTCCTCCTTGTGACTCCCTTTTAGATGTTAATGCTCCAGCTTTCATCCCCTTCTGTTCTTGTTCAGGCTGTGGCCTAAGGAGGTTACAGCAGCATGCTCCTGGCACCTTAACAGCATGTCAAAATAAGGGTCTGTGGGAATAACCGCAGTCACTGGCTACACGGGTTTGTCAGCTGGAGTTCAGCTGCCCCGGCAACAGAGACAGCATCCTCTGCAGAAGTATTAGACCTCAAACAGGAGGCAGTGCGCCAGAGGAGCACAGAATCAAAGCAATCAGGACAGAGCTGCCATTCCAAAGGGAGGGGGACGCACATGACAACGGAAAAGGGGAAAACCCGACTCTCTTACCTGGACAACATTGGGATACAGCGCAGCACATAATATTGCGGATATCAACTTGATGTTCTCTGCATTAGCGTTTGCCTATGAAATACATACAGTGAGTACCCACAATTCCCGGCTCCTACCCACAGGCCTCATCCCAGCACTGTCAATGAAAACCAGGGATTTCCGGATTCACTCTAGAGTCTGACTTCATATCAAAACGAAATGACTGGCTCAAGACCTTCTTTTTGAAACACTCTTTGTAACTTCATATTAGCAGCACTTACTGGATTCTGCACTTCCAGATTATGTCTTCATTACCTGGACTGCCAATTCATTGGCAATAGGTTTGTAAGAGCTCATCTGGACACTTCCCAAACAGTTATTCCATGCTGAGTAGGTAAATCACAAACCATCCCAGGTCTGCACGATCGTGTCGTCTGGCCATTCTGTGCTTGTCTTGCTCCAGAACTGCCAGTCGACACAGGGAGATGGCCCAGCTACATCAGCTGTCTGTACTCCTCCATGTGTGCAAGCAGCCTGCATGCTCCCCTTAGCAAAGCATGCTGCAGATTTCATCGGGCCAAAGGCCCTCAATCACATCTAATACCAGGATCCATTTCCTGGCCCCAAAATGGGAACTGTATTCATTGCAGCATTTGCTATTGGTGTGCAGATAAGATGGCCAGGAGCGGGGGTGTATGACCCTGTCTAGAATCGCGCCAGGTTGGATCCATGGCTTCACACTGCCTGGAATGCAAGCCATAGCTAGCAATCTAGTGTGCACCAACCGGGTTACTTTACTGACGTGGTGGGGTGGGACCACATTTGCACCCGTGCCCAGGAAGGACAGACACGTTATCCCATAACACGCCGTGCAAGAAGTCACAAGAGAGCAAGGCGAGGAACCAAAAGCCAGGCCCCCAGACGCCCAGCACCTCACCGGGCTGTGTGCCACACCAGTGTGGATCCAGAACTGAAGTGTGATCACTCTCACCTCTCTGTTCAGTGTGGACAAGGCCTTAACTACTCCAGGGTGTTCATTACATCAAGTTAATTGGCAATTAACTGCAGCTTAAAAAACGTCTAGTGGGGACAAAGCCAGTGACCGAGTGAGACAGGGACACGGATGAAAATGTGGCTGCCACAGTGACATAACCCACAGCGCTGCTCGTTAGCAGGGAGTGGCATTTGGCGATGTTCGCAATAGCTAGGCCAGCATTGTGTAGTGATGGTGCATAGCGGATGTTCCCTTTCCTTGGATCTAGGGTCTTCCCTGGAGTCTCTCAGTGTCTGTGGCCTATAAGGCCTTCTACCCTACAGAGCTGGCCAGGAAAGCGCGGACATCTGTTCCAAAGTGGACCTCGCCACAGTCCCCCTGCCATTACAGCAAGCTGCCCTCCTTTGGGTTACCCTGGACTTGCTTCCAAACGCTCTGCCTGTGCGGCTCCAAACTGCAGAGAGGCCATTCATGTGTGCACCTCAGATCTGGTGCTGTGGACCCAAGTGTATACTCCCCAGCCAGCGCACCAAACCAAGAGCGTTTTAAAGCACTGGTGCTCCAGTTACCTCTTCTCCAGTAGCGTCCAAAACCCCATCTCCTCGAGACCACCTCTTCTCAATGTCCCTGGCTCTTAGCCCCTCCTTCACAAATCCAATATCAGACAGCAGCTCTGTGAATTGCCTTTTTAGGCTCGCCATCTCCTGCAATTCAACAGAAAGCCTTGAATTGTGCCGTGTGCCGGTGAGGTGAATTCAGACCAGATGACTCAGTTTAAACACCGACTGCCAGGCCTATCCTTCAGCATCTCACGCTGCCACCCACGACCACTCCGATTGCTGGCCGTAAGACAGCCAACGTGTATGAGAAAACTCGATGAAAGGCTACCCTGCTGAAGACATTATCCAGTAAAATCGAGCAGCAGGATCTTGCTGTTAAGGTTAGCAAGTTTCCAACCCAGCTTTTGCCACTGTTCAGAACTTTCCCAAGCCAATGAAATATTCCAACTTGGGTCTGAGCCGAGGGTTGATGTAGAAGTTAAACATGTAGGCTACGTCTAGACTGGCATGATTTTCCGCAAATGCTTTTAACGGAAAAGTTTTTCCGTTAAAAGCATTTGCAGAAAAGAGTGTCTAGATTGGCATGGACGCTTTTGCGCAAAAGCACTTTTTGCAGAAAAGCGTCCGTGCCAATCTAGACGTGGTTTTGCGCAAGAAAGTCCCAATCGCCATTTTCGTCATCGGGGCTTTTTTGCGCAAAACAGTTTTTAGCTGTCTACACTGGCCCTCCTGCGCAAAAGCATTTGTGCAAGAGGGCTTTTTCCTGAGCGGGAGCAGCATAGTATTTGCACAAGAACACTGACAATCTTACATTAGATTGTCAGTGTTCTTGCGCAAATTCAAGTAGCCAGTGTAGACAGCTGGCAAGTTTTTCTGCAAAAGCAGCTGTGTTGCAGTAAGCTACACACGCAAACTCTTGGACTTGGAAGGAGATGAGAGGGATGGGGCGGGATGAGGAGGTGAAAGAAAGAGGGGTGTCACTGACAAGATGATGGAGGCTACTGACTTTTTTAAAGTAATCCTGAAAAATACTGAATCGAAATGGACTTACTTGAAGAACTCTTCCCGATAAGAAGTTCTCCCTGCAATAGATGTAGCTGGCATGAGAACTCTCTTTTGTACTTAAGTGCCACCCCTAAATAATGGAAAAAATAAACTTTATGAACAACACCTTACATTTGAGAACACGTACACACATAAGATTTATAGCTCACCTTATAAGCCTGAAGAAGAGCCAGGTAATCACTGTTTTCTATCGCAAATTCCAGCTTTTTTTTGTTCGCTTCCTCTCTTTTATCCCATGGAGACACCTAAATAGAAACATCGACACATTTAATCTCTGCTTCCCTCCTTACTGCTCAACCCAAGTGCTCTAGCATCACCTGTGATGCGCGTGGTCTTAGCTACTGATCATGTGTAGCCCTCACACCCATGATAAAAAGAGTTTATAAAGGAGTAAGTGAAGCTCTCTGGATATATTGCCTGTGCAGACCCATGCTGTAGGAGTTACATGCTGTAACGCTTTGATCCCAGAACCGTTCCACTGCAATATATTCAGGAGGGGCGGGGTGACCACAGATGTGAGATTGTAAAAAGCTTCACTTCCAGAAGAGACCTAAGCAATGGCTTCCCTTACTCTAAATCAGTGGTTCCCACATTTTTCAAGCTTTCGGACCCCTTTTCAATCTGTTAAAATTTCACAGACCCCTTCCCTCTCCCCCGCAGCGGGAGAAAGAAATAGAAAAAAAGAAGAAAAAAAAAAAAAGAGAAGAGAGGGGATGGGGCACACCGCAGTGGGCCTGATTCTTACTTTTACATTTTCCACTCACCCCTTGCAGTACCATTGCAGACCACCAGGGGTCCACGGACCACAGGTTGGGAACCACTGTTCTAAATAACGTGAATGTCGAGAAATGGAGAGAGGGAGGATAGGGGTGCATCTGCAGAAGCAACACACTGGGGGAAAACAACTTTCTCTTTCAAAAAACTGCCTCTACAGCCCTCACCGGAGAAGATTCGGAAGCATTAGAAAGGCCTGGTCTACACTAGAGAAAACACCGTTCCACTGCTGACTGGGAATGAATGTCTCACAGCCGGAACGCTTGAGAGCGGAATCCCCTGCATCTGCCCCTACGTGTCAACCAGGGACGTGTTAAAAGCAGCCCCTGCCTGAAATCTACACAAGGCCCAGACCAACAGCACACATCTTGAGAAACCCGAACACTGTCATACACGTCAAGCTAAAAGGAGAAATGTGCAGTGGGGGAGGGAAAGGGAGGGAAGAGAAAGTCTGAAAATGCAGAATGGTTCTGGGATGGGGGGTTTTAGAACCAGGATTGAACCACCCAGATCCGCAGCTGATGGACGGGCGCCAACCACAACTATGCTGCTCTCGAATACACTCAAGACTTACGCAACCTCAACAGTGAGGGATGTGCAGAGGCAATTTTGTGTTGTACTGTCCACAATACAGACTGTGCCGTTAACTATAGCTGGCAAACCCACACACTGAAACAGAATGCTCAGTCCTGGCCTTTTGTGCTTGCTTCAGACAGACTGCTAAAAACGGCAACAGGACAGGAGCGGATTAGCTAAGATGACATATGTGCACACAGCCTGAAATCAGGAGTGAACCCTATATTCCCAGCTCAGAACTGCCAGCTTCCTAGCCGGCATGTACACTAAGCCCACTGCTTCCCAACACAGACAGGTGTCGGAGATGTAAAGTGGACACCTGTAATTTCACCAGCAATTTTGCTTGCACATTTATAGATTGTATAGACTCAGCAAGAATTACAAATGGATGCTTTATGTCCTAGTTAATGAGCTTCAGGGGGTAGCCGAGTTAGTCTGCTACAGAAAAACAACAGCAAGCAAATGGTCTGGCGGCACTTTATAGACTAACAAAACATGTAGATGGGATCATGAGCTTTCGTGGGCACAGCCCACATCTGAAGAAGTGGGCTGTGCCCATGAAAGCTCATGATCCCATCTACATGTTTTGTTAGTCTATAAAGTGCTACCAGACCATTTGCTTGCTGTTATTTGTCCTAGTTAATGTTTGTCATTACTTCAATCCTTGATCCATGCCATATTCTTGAACAAAATCTAGGTTCTCTTGGCGTTAGTTTGGCCTCTGCTTACACTCACACCATCAAGCCCAGTACCACCGTGTCATCTGACAACAATTAGTTACTTTTACTAAAGAATTCTGTCTTCCAATAAAATACAGCTTGAACGTCTCTAGTCCAGCACACTCTGATCCAGCAACTTCCTTGGTCCGGCATGATTTGAGTTAGCTGGATGTCCACTTATCATGGGTGTAGCCAAGTTTCCTGCAGTCCCCTAAAGTCTCTTTACAGTCCTGGCTCTCAGTGTTTTGTAATATTTAGCTCTAATTTGCCCCTAAATGTCTTCTAAGAGCCCCGTAAGCAGTGTTGGCGATGCTGCTAGACAATATTGACCTCCCCTGGTCCGACAGATTCTCTGATTCGGCACCGGTTAGGTCCCGAGGTTGCCGGACTAGAGAGGTTCAACCTGTACTATGTTCTTTTTATTTTGGATCAAGCTGCCGCCACTGTGCATGTGCTTGTGACTACTTCCAGTTCAGACATAAAACCCATTTTCTATCAATACAAAACTCTCTGTGCAGTAAGTAGAACGGGCAAGAAATGTCAGAGTCATCTGGTGCAAAATACTACAACAGTCACTTATGAAAGCCACACGTTCCTTGACACACGGACGTAGTTTGGAGCGACCGACTTACAAAAGGGGACTTGAAGGCCAGACTGGCTGCTATGGTTAGCGCAGGATCCAGACACCGGAAAATGGTGCCAAACAGCATGAGTTTCCCAATCCGTACGTCGACAGGCAAGGAAGCCAAGTGGTACCCCAAAGGGGTGAGCTTTTCATCTGGAGTCAAAGCGCCCAAGTCCTGCAGGCGCAGCTTCGAGGTGCGCAGCGATTCCATTTTTGGTGGCTCAATCAGCCGGGAGAAGACGGATTGAAGGCCGTGTGCAGAAAACATCTCCAGAATCTTAATTCTTAAAGGAAAAGAAGTCAACTCAGTCAGCTGACACAGGACAAAGCAGCATTGAGAAGGCCCTCCCCACGTCCCGCCTGCTAGGTAGGCCATGCCAATGGGAGCAGACAGACAGACAGCCCCAGTCTCCACTGCCTCCCTACTGACCTTCGGATCCACTGCAAGATGGATTCTCACTAATGGGCAAGCGGTAACCTATCCCAGAGGGCCTCTTCTCCACGCCCTGCCACTGCCGGGGCAGCGAGCGAACCAATGACCAGGGAACTAGCTTCTACTGCAGATCCAGACAAGCTCAGAGCCCCGGGCCACCACAGTATGGAACAAGACCCATCTGGATACACAGCCCCGGCACGCCGTCAAGCTAAAGAGCTGTCGTTCCTCCTGGCAGCGAACCAAGGGGGCAGAATTCAACTCGGGGAGTGGCCCAGAATGAATGAGGAAGCGCTTTGATCCCACAGACTGGATTCAACCCCCATTCCTGTCAAAGGAAAGACTCCCGTTTTGGTCGCTGGGCTTTGGCTCTGCAAACCTGCCATCCGACACTGACTGACTGGCACTGGGCTGCATCCTAGGAGTCTCCATTTTGTACAGGAACGTTTGGAACAGGGGGAGCGTCAAAGGCCGCACGAATTAATGTGTACCACAGCAGGGCTTAACTGGGATCAAACTGGACTACATGCAAACACATAGGAAGAGAGAGGAACATAAGAACGGCCATACTGGGTCAGGCCAAAAGTCCTTAGAGCCAGTATCCTGTATGGCCGATACCAGATGCCCCAGAGGGAGGGAACACAACAGGTGATCCTCACATGATCCCCCTCCTGTCACCCACCTGCAGACAAACAGAGGCTTGGGACACCATTCCTACCCACCCTGGCTAACAGCCATTGATGGACCCAACCTCCATGAATCTGTCTAGCTCTTTTTTGAACCCTGTTGAAGTCCTAGTCTTCACAACATCCTCTGGCAAGGAGTTCCACAGGTTGACTGTGCTCTGAGTGAAGAAAAACTTCCTTTGGTTTGTTTTGAACCTGCTGCCTATTCATTTCATTGGGTGACCCCTCGTTCTTATATTGTGGGAATAAGTAAATAACTGTTCCTTATTCACATTTATACCACACCAGTCATGATTTTATAGACCTCTATCCTGTCCCCTCTTAGTCTCCTCATGGTCCCTCTGCCTTCAAAAAATGGGGAATTTTAAAAGACCATAAACAAGGGGCTGCAGGAAAGGAATGCAACATACCAGCCAGTGCTCAGAGGAGCATCTTTGTTAGCACCACCTGTACTTACAGAGGTAGGGCCGGGCCAAGGAAACGGTGAGCGGAGGGTGCATTTGAGGGAGAGGAGGAGTTGGGAGATGAGAGAGGAGAGAAAGGGGGCTGGGCCAACGCTCTGATGCGACAGGCAGGCAGCAGCATGGTGGGTGGGAAGCCAAAGTCCCGAAGCAGAGCTAGAGGGCTCGTTAGTGGAGACAAGAGCAATCAACAGAGGGAGGCTTGCTGGTTTCCATGACGGCAGGAGCACGGCCGAGATGTAACAATTCTGCTGCTCCTGCCAGAGGAGCGGGGGGCCGGCCTTTTCCCACCGATGCCCTGGCCGTGGCTTACCTGAGGCAGAGCTGCTCCAAAGGCACTCTTTGTATTTCGGGTAGCTGCTGCTTGATGAGCTGGTGATGGTAGTGATGGCTGCTGAAGAGATGAAAGCAGACGCCAGAGGCGACACGCCCGGCTCGGCCTTTCCTTTGCAAGGCGTTGGCTTTGGACACAAAGGCGTCCTCCAGACTTTCCATTCCTTTGCTGGGGTCGTACCTACCAGAAGAGACAAGTCACAATGGACGCGGATGGGCGTGTCACGTCAACCCGGCGTGGCGTCATGGCTTACGAACATGCGCAGCAGGGGGGCAACCACTGTTTATGCCGGCACCAAATCGTGGTCCAAGCGGCCCACGTGCGAGGTCTACAGAAAGCTGATGCTTCGCTGATTCTGTGTATGCCAGTCGCATACGTGTATGATGGATGTATTTGGGGATATGAGTCTAGGCTGTGTCCTTGCATTTCAAAGGCTTGTTTCTGGGAGACCTCAGCAGGGGGCTGGGCCAACCTATTGTGAAAGGGCCAATAGTCAAGTGACTAGCAGCACTTCGCCGACAATGTTCTTCAGGTGGTGCCAATCCACGTCTGAGGAACTTTGCTGGGAACGTTCAGACCAGCATGTGAGCCGGGGGTGGGGAATCTAAGACCCAGAGGCCGGATGTGGCCCCCAGCTTGCCTGGATCTGGCTCCTGAGGCTCAGGGCTCCTCCCCATCTTTGAGGAGCTCGCGCTGGCGCTCCAGTCCCCTGCTGTCCCCCCGTGGGGTTGGAGCACACAAAATCTACAAGCCTAGCTCTGGTGCGTGAGGGGAATGTGGGGAGTGTCTTTCTCCTCAGTCGGCGGCCACGTCAGAGAGGGCTTGTTTTCGGTTTCTTACTTGTGCGCGGCCCCGGACCGATTTTTCTGTGGGCGAACGGTCCCTGACCCCAAAAAGGGTCCCCATCCCGATGTAAACAACAGCTGCTGTGGAGTCAGGCATGGACAGGCGGCCTGCCCACGTGACACACTCCATTTTGGGAGGCACTTCCACACAAGGAGAACCACCGGATTCCCTCCGCGTGGGCAAGGGGATGAAGAGGGCCCTGGGGGCTCCTCCATCGTGGTCTCCATTCCATGTCATCACTTCAGAAGCACCTTTGCTATGAACAGAGGGCCCGGAAGGATGAATGCCCCCTCCTGACAAAGGGTCTATTCCAGAGACTTCTAGAACAGCAGATCAGGCCATCGCAGCCACAAGCCTGCACCAAGAACTCGGTCCCTGATGCGTGTCATTTGATTCCTTTAGCTTCCTTCCTATTAATAAACCTGCAGATTTCAGCTCCTCAAGGATGGGCCCTGCGGGTTCTTTCGGGTTAGATCTGCGGTAACTGACCTGGGAACACGGCTGGTCCTTTGGGGGGGGGGAGAACCTGTTTGGATTTGGCGAGATTATGAAACCAACCTCCCATCTGTGTACGGAGGGGTGCTGGTGGTGGCACAGGTAAAGCTGGAGAGTCTAAGGCAGCGGTCACCAATCCGTCGATTGCGATCGACCGCCCCTAAGAGTCGATCGCTGCAGCCAGTTGGTCAGGGAGCTGCCCCTCCTTGCACCAGCCCAGCACGGCGCAGCCTCGACAGGCTGAACGCTGGGCCAACTGGCCTGGTGGCTGACCCTCTTTTGCGGTTGGGGACGGGGGAGAGAGGGTGCGTTCCTGGCTCTGGCCTCCTGCTCTGGGAGGGCGTGGGCAGCCAGCACATGTGGCGTACCAGGGCCTGGGCTATACCGCCCTGTTCCCCACAGGCGGTTTGCGGGGTCAGGGATCCCCTTCCCCAGCGCCCCGCTGTGCCCAGCCAGGCTGGAACGAGCTGTGGGCAGCCCTGGGGTCTGCCCGGCCCAGCCCCAGAGCCGTTGCCTGCAGGCAAAGGTCTGGGCTAGGCAGGGAAGAGACTCCTCCCCACCTCTCCTCACCCCAGCGCTGTTGCCGAGAGACTGAGAGTCCCCACACTGCTGTCCTGCTGGTGAGTGCGCTGGGGGCACAGGGATGTGTGGGTAGGATGGGAGGGGCAGGGGTTGCTCACGGGGGGGATGGGGCGATGCAGGGTATCAGGCTGCGGGGGCAAGATGGGAGGGGACGGGGTTGCACTGAGGGGCATCGGGCAATGCAGGGGACCAGACGGGGGGGGGACCACTGGGCCGAGGGGAGCAAGGCAGGAGAGGGGGGCAGGGATAGCTCAGTGGGTTGAGCATTGGCCTGCTAAACCCAGGGTTGTGAGTTCAATCTCTGAGGGGGCCATTTAGGGATCTGGGGCAAATCTGTCAGGGATGGTGCTGGGTCCTGTCGTGGGGGCAGGGGACTGGACTCCATGACCTCTCAAGGGCCCTTCCAGCTCTAGGAGAGGGGAGCAAGGCAGGAGAGGGGGGCAGGGATAGCTCAGTGGGTTGAGCATTGGCCTGCTAAACCCAGGGTTGTGAGTTCAATCTCTGAGGGGGCCATTTAGGGATCTGGGGCAAATCTGTCAGGGATGGTGCTGGGTCCTGTCGTGGGGGCAGGGGACTGGACTCCATGACCTCTCAAGGGCCCTTCCAGCTCTAGGAGATGGTGTATCTCCATATATATAGGAGCGGAGGGGGGTGGACACAGGTTTACTTTGCAGAAGCTGCACTTTCCTTTACTTCCCACTTCTTTGCCTCCCTCCCCAACTAGCTCTTTGGCTGCATTCTCACCCTCTCACCTTTTCTGTGTTCCTCCCCCAGGCCCCTTCTGCCCCGAAACTCCCTCTCCTGCCGCCAAACTCTCTTCCAGACCCCGTCCTGCATCCCTATCCCACTTGCTGGCAGCCCCGTTCCACACACTGGACCCTCTTTTTTGCCCTCACCCCAGAGCCTAAGAGGGTCCAAAAAATCCACTAACTCGGGAACCCCAGAAAAGTAAATCTGGCCTCGGGGAAGCCCTCAGCTCTCCCTGTCCCTTCCCCTCACCCTGTGTGGCTGGAGTGCGAGAGGAGTGAGGTATCTCAGTTGGGAGCCACATCGGGGAGGGGGACAGCTCTCCCTGTCCCTTCCCCTCACCCTGTGTGGCTGGAGTGCGAGAGGAGTGAGGTATCTCAGTTGGGAGCCACATCGGGGAGGGGGACGGGTTTGGGGAGGAGTTTTTTGCTTCTCATGTGTGCGGTCCCCAACTGATTATTCCGTGGGTCAGTGACCTCCCCCCGCCATAATAAAGAAAACATTGAAACCCTTTGCGTTGGACAGATGATAATATTTTACTCCATTTAAAATGAAGTTTGATGCACTAACATGAGAAAGTTAAAACACTAAATCTGTTTAATAATTTAAATTAAACCGTTCTCCCCCTCTGCCGCCCTAGCAAAATGGCTTGGGCATCATTTTGTAATTAACAGTGAGTTTCCACACTGCAACGGGGAGTCCGCGGAAAGGTCTGGAAAGAGCGGGGCCTCAAGGAAGGGGCAGGTCTCGGGGAAGGGATAGGGTATATCCTGGCTTGCTCTGACATTTAAAAAGTGATCTTGGGTATAAAAAGGCTGGAGACCACGGGGCTAAGGGGACGGCCTGTGTGACTTCTTGCTAGCCAGTGCGATGAATGCAAGTGCTCGGTGACTGGTTTGGTGCCTTCTAGTGGAAGACCCCAGCCTGGGGCTGTAAGTAGCCCTCTATTTACACAATTTGCCCTGATCTGAATGTCCCTAAATTACACCAGGTGAAGAGGACTGACGCTGAAGTTCAGGCGGAGACTTACTGCCAGCATTTGGAAGGCCCAAAGTACCAACACTTGGATGCATGTCCGTCACAGGGCCATGCAGATCTTTAAGAGACATGAATTCATACTTGGATGCGTCAGACCGACTATGCAGAACACCTCATTCTCCGAGATCACAGCTCCCACCAAAGTAACCCCAGTACCTTTTCTCTTTCATTTTTCCAGAATCAATCACATAGACCACATCGTCAATGGTGATGGATGTTTCTGCAATGTTCGTAGATATGATGATCTTGGTAACTCCTAGAGGAGGCTTCAGGAACACCAACTGCTGATCCTCACTGGACAGCGAGGAATGGAGTGGATAAACAACGCAGCTAGAAGAGAAAGACGAGTACATGCTTAGGGGTTTGGAACGGGTCCCATAGGAAGAGAGACTGAAAAGATCTAGACTTCAGCTTAGAAAAGAGGAGATGAAGGGGGGATAGGACAGAGGTCTATAAAATCATGACTGGTGTGGAAAAAATGAATAAGGAAAAGTTATTTACTCATTCCCACAATATAAGAACAAGGGGTGACCAAATGTAATGGCAGCAGATTCAAAACAAACAAAAGGAAGTTTTTCTCCACTCAGCACATAGTCAACCTGTGGAACTCCTCGCCAGAGGATGTGGTGAAGGCTAGGACTTTAACAGGCTTCAAAAAAGAGCTAGACAGATTCATGGAGGTTAGGTTCATCAGTGGCTATTAGCCAGGATGGGTAGGAATGGTGTCCCTAGCCCCAATTTGACTGGAAGTGGGTGACTGGAGAGGAATCATGTGAGGATTCCTGCTCTGTTCCCTCCCTCTGGGGCATCTGTCATTGGCCACTGCTGGCAGACAGGACACTGGGCTAGAGGGACCTTTGGTCTGACCCAGTGTGGCTGTTCATATGCTTATCTCTGCAGCATTTCTTCCTCCCGACATCTGTGCATTCACATAAGCTATAGCCCAGAGTGTTGTAGGTTGTTCACACCTGTTTGCAGAAGCCCATGCCGCCTGTCTCAGCCTTGGAATTCCCCTGCAAAACTCTGGAATGGGGTCTCCAGGGGCCATGGATTGTGGGGTGAGAAGAAAGAGGGAAGAACATGGTTCCATGCTACACTCCACCTGAAGTTCTTCCGGGGGATGCAGTCATCAGGCTGAATGCAGCCCAGAACATTTACTTGCAAATATCAAGGATTTGGCTGCTGACATCTGCACCTGCAGGACTATCCTGATGGAAGTGAGGCTGAAGCTTGAAGGATCAAAGAAAACAAGACCCACCCCTTAAGAGTCTAACAGTGACCTTGGATGTCTTGATCCTCTCCACAGTACCATCAGCCCTTAGACTGAACAGATCAGGGACTTTACGTGGCACTGTGATAGGGCCGAGTACTCCACCCCACGCTGGCCATAGGGAGCAGGCCCTCCTGTAGAACTGCCTTTAAAACATTCCCGGGGGGAAAGGACATTCCTGGGGAGGACTGAGTTTCAGAGCTGGAGCTGGGTTGTGGTCTCTGCCAAGGGGTCCCTGAGAGCTTTTCTGAGTAGCTAGGTGGGGGGAGCCCTTCTTTCCCCCCCAGCAAGTGATTCAAGGTTTCTGCTGTGTAAGGTTCTGCTGTCTCTTTATTGACATAAGCCCTGCACCTATTTACTCACCAGAAGGCTTATGGAGTCTGCATGGCCGAAGGGGACACACGAGCCTGATTCACTATCACTGACCAAGGGCTTAGCTAGAAGCGTTTTGAAAGACTGAAATGACAACCAGATTTACACCCGCCCTTCCGCGGGGGACGCCCTATTCCGCTGCGAAATTTGGTGACCATAACACATCAGGCTAAGGTCCTTCATCCTCATCAAGAGAATCACTTCTTGTCGAAATGCAAACTTTAGATCATGAGCTAAATAATGCTTGCAATAGCTTCCCTCCAAGTTTTAGCTTGTCCTTGTTCTTGAATTCTTCCCGCCCCTTCCCATAACAGTTTGAACCCTTTACCTTAAAAACACTTCATACTTCACAGCACTAAACATACAGATGTTTCTGGAGTGCCAAACAGGGTCAAAGATAAAGTTAGATGCTATGTTTTCAGCCTTCCATTGGATCACCATGGCTAGTGCTTAAACATCCAACGCAGCTAGCACGTAAAGGCTAGCTAGGTTCACTGTCATGATATTGGACGCGTCTCAAAATTCTCAAGTGATATTTATCTTCGTCATCAAACCTGCAAGGTTCCCTTCCCCAGTTTGAGGAAACGGGATTAGAACGTAGGTCGTGCATTTTGTGCTACGTGGACGATGACTGAGCCACTGTGCTAGCTCATAAAGGACATGATCCAAATGGCGCAGAAATGGAGATAATGCAATCTACGCCATCTCCATCACAGCAAGCTCCACAAGGAAGTAATCCACATTTGGGACCGGAGATAGATCCAGAGTTGAAGTAGAAAGTAACTTTTTTTTAAATCCGTTTCTTTACTTTTGATGTAATTTGCAAACACTAATGGTTTGGGGCGCTCCCGACTTACCGTTTACTGTGCCTGTTATTGAAAAGGGCATTAGACTGTAGCTGTTCATAAAGCATCTTAATTTCTGCAAGACCAGGCAAAAATATCAATACAGCACCTGTACATACAGAAAGGAAGCAAAGGGTCAAAAGCGGAGTTCAGCTAACACACACTATTACCCTTTGATATTACGGCAGTGTACAAAGGCCCCCAGCTAAACTAGAGCTGTGTTTTGCTCGTGATATATAAACTCACAAGCTGCAATGACCCGGCCCACAGAATGTACAATAGAAACAGGCAGACAAAGATGTCAGAATACTGTCAAAGCGACAACTCTCAGTTACTTTTTGGGCTGGCCTCGGGTACCCATCTCCCACTCTGACCATCCTCACAGAAATTAGGGGCCTCCCCTCTCTGATAGACTCAAATGTCCTCGGATGAAAATGAGACGTTATGGAAATTACGTTTTGGACAAAAGCATCAGCTGGGCACAACGTGTTCAAGCACAGTTACATGCATTCCCCGCTACACAACCCGGGTCACCTGGCGGGTACGAGTGTTTGTCACTGACGATCCACTCCAGCAGGTCCTCGATTAACTCCAGATTCACTTTGTCTAAGTCCATGCGCGCCATCGTTTGCAACACTGACTTACTGACCCCTGCAAGAGAATTAAAGCAGGATGGGGCACAGGCGAGTTGGCGCCTCAGAAGAGAGCACAGGTAACGGAGCGATGGCCACGAGAAGGATCAGCAGCCGTACAGTGAGCAACATCCTGTGTCCCTGTAAATATGGCTGAAGGGGACATTCATGAGACCTCTGAGTGCAGTCTGTCCCCTTCAGTCTCCCACCTCATTCACTCTTCCCCGCTCGACTTCTCCTCATCAACTCTCCCACTCACACCCCATTAGGGCTCATGAACTCGACACAGAACATAAGAACGGCCGTACTGGGTCAGACCAAAGGTCCATCTAGCCCAGTAGCCTGTCTGCCGACAGTGGCCAGCACCAGGTGCCCCAGAGAGGGTGGACCGAAGACAATGATCAAGCGATTTGTCTCCTGCCATCCCTCTCCAGCCTCTGACAAAAAGAGGCCAGGGACACCAATTCTATCGCCTGGCTAATAGCCTTTTATGGACCTAACCTCCGGGAAATTATCTAGCTTCTCTTTAAACTCTGTTATAGTCCTAGCCTTCACAGCCTCCTCTGGCAAGGAGTTCCACAGGTTGACTACACGCTGTGTGAAGAAGAACTTTCTTTTATTAGTTTTAAACCTGCTACCCATTAATTTCATGTGGTGTCCTCTAGTTCTTCTATTTAGGGAACTAATAAATAACTTTTCTTTATCGGCTCTCTCCACACCACTCATGATTTTATATACCCCCCCGGTGTGCCACATCCCATGAACACCCACACTGGTGCCAGCCAGTGCCGCTCACCTATGCTGCTACCAGGCACGGCAGGAGTTGGGAATCACAGAATACTAGGACTGGAAGGGACCTTGAGAGGTCATCGACTCCAGTCCCCTGCCCTCATGGCAGAACCAAATACTGTCTAGACCATCCCTGATAGACATTTATCTAACCTACTCTTAAATATCTCCAGTGATGGAGATTCCACAACCTCCCTGGGCAATTTATTCCAGTGTTTGACCACCCTGACAGTTAGGAACTTTTTCCTAATGTCCGTCCTAAACCTCCCCTGCTGCAGTTTAAGCCCCTTGCTTCTTGTTCTGTCCTCAGAGGTCAAGATGAACAAGTTTTCTCCCTCCTCCTTATAACACCCTTTTAGATACCTGAAAACGGCTATCATGTCCCCCCTCAATCTTCTCTTTTCTGAACTAAACAAACCCAATTCTTTCAGTCTTCCTTCATAGGTCATGTTCCCTAGACCTTTACCCCATGGGGCAGAAGAGAACTAGCACCGGGGGTCTCCAAGACTCGCACACAAATTCTGTCCGGTTTTTCCCAGTATTTCATTTCTCCCAAAGGCCCTTACTCTTCAGGGCTTCTACAGTCTGAGCCCCCCACCCCAGGAAGGCATGACCCCAGGGCTGTATATGAAGGGTTACAAGGAAGAGGCTGGATTACACGATGCAGCTCACTGGGTCACTGTTTTACAAGTCAGTACGCACCCCAGTGCAGTCCTGCAGTGGGAGCTGCCCATTGGCATTTCACTGCCATCGAGGCTACTCTTCTAGACAAATCAGGAGCCATTAGCACAGAAGCTCTCAAAGCTAGTGGCGTGCTGAGCTCTTCAAGGTGATCTGCGGAAGGCTACCCTCTGGGAACCAAGCAACGGGGAAAGGGAGAGGAAGGTGCTTGGAAGAGTTTCTTTCTCTGAGGGGCTCCCCAGAATGACAAGCTGAACAGGAGAACCCCTGTTCTGAAAGCTCCCAAGTGGAAGGAGAACATAGGAGCGGCCACGCTGGGTCAGACCAAAGGTCCGTCTAGCCCAGTGTCCTGTCTGCCCACAGTGGCCAATGCCAGAGGCCCCAGAGGGACTAAACAGAACAGGGAATCAAGTGATCTCGCCCCTGTTGCCCATTTCCAGCCTCTGACACCATCCCTCCCCATCCTGGCTAATAGCCATGGATGGACCTATCCTCCTTGAATTTATCTAGTTCTTTCCGGAACCCTGTTAAAGCCCTGGTCTTCAAAACCTCCTTTGGCAAGGAGTTCCACAGGTTGACTGTGTGCTGCATGAAGAAAAACTTCCTTTTGTTTGTTTTAAATCTGCTACCTATTCATTTCCTTTGTTGACCCCTAGTTCTTCTGTTATGGGAAAAAGACCTTTCCTTACCCAAGATACCCATCAAGGACAACTACAGGGGAAAAAGGAGGTGGAAGTCAGCAAGATATTGAAAAAGGGAAAGCAACACCATCCGTAATACGTAAGAAGGATGGCTTCCCTCTGTGTGAAGAACTGTTTTATGCTAGGCTTTGGCTCTAGTTCCACAGAGTAACTGGGAAAGAGGGTTTATTTTCTTAGCTGGCCTAGGGTTTAACCACACCCGTAACACACCGCCATAGAATTACAGAAACGTAGGCTGGAGGGACTTCAAGTCCCATCTAGTTGCGCCACTGTGCTGACACAGGACCATGTAAACCTAAAACATCCCTACCCGGCAGCTTTTAAAACCTCCAACCATGGGGATTCCGCAGCCTTCCTCGGTATCCTAGTCACGTGTGTAGCTACCCTTGTTGCTAGGAAGGTTTCCTCCTCTCTAATCTAAATCCCCCTTGCTGCAGATGAAGCCAATGACTTCCTGTGGACACGGAGAACAATTAATCACCGCCCGCTTTAAAACAGCCCTTCACATATCTTAATACTTTTATCAGGCTGCCTTTTCTCAAGGCTTAACATGCCCAGGGTGTTATTTCTAAACCTTCCTTCACAGGTCAGGTTCTCTCAACCTCACCACTTTTGCTGCCATCTTCTGGGCTCTCCGGTTTGTCTACATCTCTCTTCCAGGGCAGCGCCTAGAACTGGACACAGGGTTCTAGCAGAGACCTCCCCAGTTCCGTGGCATGGGACAATTACTTCCCTTGTCTTGCATATGACAGTTCTGTTAGCACATGACAGACTATTCAACAATACACCACAAAGCCCCAGAGTAGGGCCATGCGTGTAGGATACTTCACAATACATTCAAGAGTACCAACCGGGCTTGTAAATGAACTTGCTGAGATTAGAGAGAGAGAGAGAAATTACCTTTGTATCGTATCAGGAGCTGTTTAAAAGTCAGTTGCTGGTCTGGGACTGAATCCTTCGCAGCCTTGTCTTCCTCCCGGAGGTAAGTACCTCGTAGACTTGCCTCTACTTCTTCTAATGCCGTTCTCTCGCGTCTTGCTTTAAGTTTATCATCGGCCTGTCGCTTTGTGTTCATGTAGGGATTACCGTCCCCTATGACATACCTGAACAGGGGCAGAGAGGATTCAATGCCAGGGAAAGCAATTTGTACAGCCTACCCTTTACAGTAAGCTTTCAAAGCAGGGGTGGGCAAAAGGGTTTCTGTGGGCTGGATCTGGCCTGCCGAGCTGGTTGATCCAGACCACGGATGCCTTGCCACTCCCCTGCCCCTAGGCCAATCAGGACCTGGGGACAGAGGAGCGCACAAAGTCTCCTGCTGCCAGGGATGCAAGCACTTAGAGAGACACGCCAGCTGTTCAAAATAGCGGGCGGTTCTCTCTAGGTGCTGGGAGGCAAAGGCTTCACGTGCTCCTCCCACCCCCAGGCCAATCAGGTCTGTGGACAGAGAAGTCTTGCCACTCCCCTGCCCCTAGGCCAATCAGGACCTGGGGACAGAGGAGCGCACAAAGTCTCCTGCTGCCAGGGATGCAAGCACTTAGAGAGACACGCCAGCTGTTCAAAATAGCGGGCGGTTCTCTCTAGGTGCTGGGAGGCAAAGGCTTCACGTGCTCCTCCCACCCCCAGGCCAATCAGGTCTGTGGACAGAGAAGTGTCTTGGCCCCGCCCCTTCCCCCAGAGGCCCCGCCCCCTCCCCCG